AACATTGGTGTGCGTATATCTACTTATAGTCTGGCTTGCATTTCTTGTGGATATATACTGAGTACAGGGATTGCTGGGCCATACTGTGTTTAAATTTCCAACTTTTTGAGGATGAACAATAGGGTTTTTCAGAGTGCTTGAACCCCTTCACTGTCCCACCAACAATGCAGAAGGGTCCCAGACCTATACTCTTAATGCTGTGGAGTCTTGGTGTGGTGCAGTAGAACAAGTGCAGGACTGCGATGTTGGTTTGCACCACAAGGTTGGTAGTTCAAACTCACCAGCTGCTCCTCAAAAATCCTATACTGGGTCACTGTGAATTAGAACCAACTTGACAGTACTCCACAACAACAACGACAATGGCTAATGATTGTGAACATGTCTTCGAATGCTTGCTGACTGGTAGTATGTCTTCCTTGGTGAAGTGCCTGTTCATGTTCTGCACCCATTTTTTAATTGGGTTGTCTTTTTTTGTAGAGGTGTTGCAGTTTTGTCTTTGCAAAAACATTTCCCCAGTCTGTAGGCTCCCTTTTTACTCTCTTGAGGAAACCTTTTAATGAACATATGTGTCTAAATTTTAGGAGGTCCCAGTCATCTATTTTGTCTTCTACTGTTTGTGTGGGGATTTTTTTTGTAATGCTTGATAGTATATTTATGGCATGTATTAGAGTCCCTAAGTTTTCTCCTATTTTTTCATTGATGTTCTTTATAGTTCAAGGTCTTACATTTAGATCTTTAATCCATGTTGAGTTTGTTTTTGCATATTGTGTGAGATATGGGTCTTGATTCATTCTTCTGCAAATGGATTTCCAGTTTTGCCAGCACCATTTGTTGAAGAGACTGTCTCTTCCCCATTTAATGTGTTTTGGCTCTTTGTCAAAAATCAGCTGACTGTATGTAAATGGATGTACAAACATGATACCCTTCTCCAGCAACTGGTCCCTCCTGACAACATGTCCGAATTATGAGAGATGAAGTTTGGCCATCTTGGCCTCCAACGAGCACTCTGGCTGCACGTCTTCCAAAACGGATCTACTGTGCCCATTCCAAAGAGAAGTGACCCAACGGAATGTGGAAATCATAGGACACTCTCTTTGATATCCCACGCGAGTTAAGTTTTAATAAAGGTAATTCAGAAATGCCTGCAAGCATACATTGACAGAGAACTTCCAGAGGTTCAAGCTGGATTCGGAAGAGACCGTGGAACGAGGGATATCATTGCTGATGTCCAGTGAATCTGGGCTGATAGCAGAGAGTATCAGAAAGATGTTTACCTGTGCTTTATTGACTACGCAAAGGCTTTTGGTTGTGTGGATCATGACAAGCTATGGACAACATTGCAAAGTATGAGCATTCTGAACATTTAATTGTGCTCATGAGAAATCTGTAACTGGACCAAGAGGCAGTTGTTTGAACAGAACATGGGACCACTCAATGGTTTAAAATTAAGAAAAATGTGCCACAAGGTTGTATTCTTTCACTATACTTATTCTGTATGCTGAGCAAATAATCTGAGAAGCTGGTTTATATGAAGAAAAACGTGGCATCAGGATTGGAGGAAGACTCATTAACAACCTGCAATATGCAGATGATACAATCTTGTTTGCTGAAAGTGAAGAGGACTTAAAATATCTACTGGTGAAGATCAAAGAGCACAGCCTTTGGTATGGATTACATCTCAGTGTAAAGAAAACAAAAAAATGTTCTGGAATTGTTTGACTTAAATTCATCTCTTCTCTGAATGTTTGATAGAATTCTGGGCCTGCGTTGTTTTTTGGTGGGAGTTTTAAAATTGCTTGATCAATTTCTTCTTTTATTGTAGGTCTGTTTTCTTCTTCAGCCTGTGTTAGTTTAGATAGGTTGTGTTTTTGTTAACATTTATCCATCTCTTTTAGATTTTCAAATTTACTGTAGTTTAATTCTTTTTATTATTTTGTTATTATTCTTTTTATTTTCATTGGCTCTGCTGTGATTTCACCTGACTTCCATTTTGGTCTTTTCTGTTTCTTTCTTTTTATTTTATTTTATTTATTTATTTTTTCTTGAATGTTTTATTGTGAATTATGTGATAGTTTACATGGGAGAACAGTAGTTTTACATTCATTGTATCGTATATCATCTCATTGCCATGGTTACAATCCCCTCCATGCAATCCTTCCCCCGTACCCCCCAGGTCTTCAGCACACAGTCGCTCTTCCTCTCTGGATCTAAAGTCTCCAGCTGCTCCATCGCACCACGTCATCATCTCTGGCTTCATTTCAGGCATCACTTCTTCTCTGGGTAGGGTCCCTCTCTCTGCTCTTCTCCCTTGATGGTCCTAGGGACCTCCGCTCTTAGACTGAAAAGTTAATCACTCCCCTCCTTGCTACAAAACGTCTACCTTTACATTTCCGACCCTCACAATCAGTCCTGATAACAATTATTCACTATTGTATCACAAGAGACCCTTCTGCATTTCGTTGCATCAGCCCCGCCTAGACAGATCGAATACTACTCACTGGAGAATCTACCTTCCTCCAGGCTCTCTGGATCTAGGTTTCCTCTTGAAAGCTTGTAAGCCAGTCACTTCTTGTCTTTGTAGCGTGCCCCCCCCCCATTTTGGGTAGCCAATGTCCAAGTTGCCCATCCCTGTCTACTCTGTGTGTGGAGGCGGTGGGAATGATTCTTGCTGTAAGGATTTATTCCCTCTTTTGAGTTACTGCTTCCACAGGTGTAGGTTCTTTTCTGTTTCTTAAATGGCCTTTTACTTTTTTCTTGTATGATGTTTTTCATGTCATCTCACAGTTCTTCTGGTCTTCGGTCATTAGTACCTAATGTATCAAATGTATTCTTGAGATGTGTTCTAAATTCAGATGAGATATACTCAAGGTCATATTTTAGCTTTTGTGTTAACTTGTTTTACTTTCCTTAAGCTGAAGCATGAACTCGCATATGAACAATTGATGGTTTTTTTCTTAGTTTGCCTCTGGCCTTGTTTTGGCTGATGATACTCAGTAAGTTCTCCATAGTTATTAACAAAACTACTCGGGGTAGATTTAAAGTAGAGGTAGAATTGTGCATGTGTCCTCAGTGGTTGGAAGCAAAATTCAAGTTGCCGTATACTGAGGGTATGAAAAAGGGGATTATTTTTGAATTCAGGAGTGGACTGCTTCAAACTTGACGGTTCTTTGGGTCCCTGTCCAGTTGTCAGCAATTTGCAAGGATAAGCATAGGGTTGAAAATGGAATGATGATAGTATCACACGAGAAAATCTCACACTCAGAAATAAAAAAGTTTTAGTGGGCAATAGCCACGCAACTTGTGGTAGCACGAAGTTGAAGTACAATGTGCCTTGCAGTTCTGAAAAAAGCCAGTTTGTAGACACAGGGTTCAGCATGACCAAATACCACAGACATTTTAGAAAACAAGTGTTTCTCATATTGGCTTATGTATTTTTTGATAAACTTTACAAACTTCCTTGGACTTTTTTTTAATCATTATTTTCCCAGAAAATCCACTTCTCCTTTATCCCCTCCCTTGCTTTCCTGAGTGTTTAGTGTTAACCCTTTATTCAGAGCCTGATCTGAACGTTTGTATGAGTATTTGCTAGTGCAGTGGTGAGAGAAACAATAAATATATGAAGAACTGATCATGCAGTGTAGTATGGGGCCTGAGTTTTCTATAAGGTTTTCAAGCATATTGCCTATGATTTAGAAAGATTCACCTTTTCAGGAAAGTTGAAAATAAATTCCTTGTCACTTGAAAAACTTTAACAATGAGATGGAAAACAAAGGTCTTTTAAGTCATTCAAGGTAAGTCTGGGGTCAAATTGGCAGCTTTTCAGAGGCTGAACCTGTTCCTAAAGAGTCCTTTTCAACTCATGGTAATACTAAAGGGCAGACTAGAACCGACCCATAGTGTTTTTAAGGCTCTCGTCAGGACGAAGCAGATGGATGTATCTTTCTTTCCTCTCTCCCTGGGAGCCAGCGGTGGGTGGGTTCAACCAGTGTCTCTCTTAAATCACGGGGCAAACCCTGCCCAACACAATCTCCTCATGGACCCTGAATGAGTAATGGGAGAATGATAGGAAAAGGACGTCAATTTGGCAGGACAACCTTTGGTTTTAGACACCCCAGGAAAGGAGGTCAAGCTGGAGGAAATTGCTTCCCTGCTTCAGTAGGGATTTTCATTCCAGCCCGCCTCCAAGCCTACTTGAGGCCGGGAAGTGACCAGCCCAGGGGGAAGAAGTTGGCGTAATTAGCCTTAAGTAAGTAGTACAGCAGTTCCGGTGTGGCGCTGTGGGTTAATGCGCCAGACTGCAAACTCGTTTGAATCGCAAGGTCGGTGGTTCAAGCTCCGCAGTCGCTCCTTGGAGAACCCTATGGGTCAGAACCGACTCGACAGCACTTAACAACAAGTGCAGTAGTTAACTCTACCTCCCGGGCCCCGCTCAGTGGACAAGCCGCAGCGCACATCGCAGCTACTGCAGCCAGCGACAAGCACTCAGCTTCCCCAGCAGAGGTAGGGGGCTCGCACGCTGGGTCCCATCTACGTGCTGGCGTCGGCACGGATAGGCCGTTGCGCGAGCATGCGCAGGCACTGCGAGGCGGGGCTCCCGGTACGAGTGCGTTGCCGGCCGCAGCACTAAAGCGGTACAAAGAACACAGAGGATCCGAGCGAAGCCGGCATGGGGAAAGCAGGGCCTCGCAGTCCGTCTGGGCGCGCTTGCAGCTCCGCGGACACGCAGTGACGGCGGTGACGCCCCGAGTCCGCCTCGCTAGAAGCCCTGGTGTGCGGAGGCCAGGCTATGAGGAGTGCCTTGGGCCTTTTCGGGCCTCGCTGAGCCCGGCCCTGCGCGGCAGCCTCCTGCGCCCGTTGCGGCCTCTCGGCATGAGCGTCCGCCCAGGCTCGGGGCCGCAGCTGCCCCAGTCCGGCCGCCCGCGGGAGCGCTCCGGGGTGTCGGGCCCACGGTGCTGACCCTGCCCGACTACTGTCCTCGCCGCGGCGCACCCTGGGCGGCCATGGAGGTGGTGGGCGACTTCGAGTACAGCAAGCGGGACCTCGTGGGACACGGGGCCTTCGCCGTGGTCTTCCGCGGGCGGCACCGCCAGGTGAGCCCGCCCGCCCGGGCGAGGCCGGTGTTTCGCGGCTCCCAGTGGGCCCCAGTGCGGAGAGAAAGGGCGTTCTCCCCGGGCCGCCGCTGCAGCCCCTCCTCGGCACTTAGCTTGGCTCGGGTTTATTTTGGTCGTGGGAGGAGACAGCTGGCGGGCTGTTCTTGGTGACAGCAGCGCCCCGGGGAATTGGCCCGGACCCGGCTGCCCTCTGTCCGCCTGAAGCCGGCGGGGTCCCTGGCCGGGGCTGCCGAGCCTTGGCACGTTCGATGCCGACGACTGCAGAGGACACGTGCCGGTGCCCGGCTTCCCGGAGGCTTCCCCTAACTCGGGGAGAGCACGTTTCCCAGCCGTGGTTTCCTCCGCACCCAGACAAGCCCGCTACCGTCTTCCTTTCCTGGGCTGAGAGCTGGGAAAGAGAAACTTTGAAGCCAAGTGAGGGTGAAACTACCAGTTCGAAACTACCAGCGGTTCTGCGGGAGAAAGATGGGGCGTTCTGCTCCCGTAAAGATTTATTTCCAGCCTCGGAAACCCTGAGCGGGGTCGCTATGAGTCGGAACCGACTCCACGGCACATCCCCCCCAATGGTGAAAACACGCTGAATTCACCCCCACCCAAATAGTTTTAAAATAAAGGCTTTACTCAATCACAAACGGGGTCGCTGGAAGACTTAAAAGTCGGCTGACTTTACTGCTTACCACATAGAGTGTGTCATTAATTACGAAAATAAATTAATACTCAGGAAGAAATTTCAGTCTCCTCCCTATCTAATAAATGGTTTTTAATGAACGGTACCACTTTCCAACTGTATTACCCACATTTCTCCTTAACTTTTAAGTGATTGTATTCCTTTTTCACTTAATGTTAGTTACTATGTTGGCTTCATGTTTATTATTTTTAAGGACTGTATTGTAGGAAATTGGCTAATTGCACCATAATTTTATGAAATAATTTCCCTGTTGGTGGAGACTCAGATCGTTTTCTCATTTTCCCAAAAGTTATACATAAATTTGCAAAACAATAACAGATTTTTCTGCTCAGTTGTGTCAACGCTGTTTTTCCTTTTCAGAAAACAGATTGGGAAGTAGCTATCAAAAGTATTAATAAAAAGAACCTGTCGAAATCACAAATACTACTTGGGAAGGAAATTAAAATCTTAAAGGTATGTTTCTTTATATGGTAATTCATACTTGGTTAAATTTTATTTTCCATTATGGGAATACATCATGACATCTATGCAATTTTATTAGTTAAACCAAAGTTTGACAATTTTTAAGTGTTGTATGCCCAGTTTTTTTAAACATGAAATCCTCCGAAGCAGTGTTTGTTACTCTTGTCCAACGTTTTAGGATTTTAAGAAAACTTGATTTTAGCATTTGACTCAGTTCTGACTCATAGTGACCCTGGATAGTATTTCCTAGGAGTGGCTGGTTTGAACCACCTACCTTGTGTTTATCAGTTCCGTGCTGATGCTACAGTACCACACCAGCTTGTTGTGATGTGCCGTGGAGTCGGTTCCAACTCATAGCGACCCTGTACAGGGTTTCTGAGGCTGTAAATCTTTATGGGAGCAGAAAGCCTCATCTATCTCCCACAGGACAGCTGGTAGTTTTGAACTGCTGTCCCTGAGGTTTGCAGCCTGATTTGTAGCCACCACGCTACCAGAGCTCCGTACCACACCGGCTTACCATTATTTAATTCTTCTAGGCGTCTTGGTGGAGTTTTGTGGCGCTGTGGGTTAATGTGCTGAACTGTAAGGTTGGTTTGAACCACAGGGTCAGCAGTTCAGTCTCACCAGCCACTCCTCGGAAACCCTATACAGGGTCGCTCTGAGTCAATGGTACAACAAAAATAGGAATCCTGGTAGCTCCATACTATAAGCACTGGACTGCGAACCACAAGTTCTGTGGTTTGACCCTACTAGCTGCTCCACGGGAGAAAGATGAGACTTTGTGCTTCCCTGAAGATTTAAAGGAGTCCTGGTGTGGCACTATAAATTAAGTACTGGCCTGCAGAGTCAGTTTGAACTGCAAGGTTGGGGGTTCAAACCGTATACAGGCTCTCTATGAGTGGGAACAATTCTGTGGCACTTAACAATATTATTTTAGAGGGAATGCAGGCAGGTGTGTCATACGTTTTTTGCATCTTCCATTGACCTCTTACAATGAAGGTTGTTGGGGGTGGGATGGGGATGAGTTGTGGCTTTCCCCCCCTCCCCCTGTAAATTGAAGACAGTTATTTTCCTTGGAGGTAGTCTCTTAATTCATTCACCAGCAGTGTGAGAGGGTTGAGTGAAAAAAAGATGGATTCCGTGGTCAAATATCTTTGGAAAGATGCTGTTTGTTAAACACCTTCTTGGAGAGTCCCAAACACTAGACTCTTTAAAGAAAGTTTGAAAAGTTTAATGTAAAAACGGGTTCAGCTGTAACTTGATGTATCTTAAACGGCTAAGCTTCCCTTGAAATCAGTTTTCTGTGGAGAGCTCCTTGGTAAACCTTGTTCTGGAGTTAAGAATTATGGGTATTTTTTTCAGGCAGATAATGTAACTTTTAAAAGCAGTTTGCAATGTTAATTAATGCCTCTAGTGATGTTAGCAGTTGTTTATATAATAAATTTAGAATACAAGCAAAAAGTTGATAATACTTATTTTCCTGATTTTGTAAATGAGAATACTCACCCTGTTAGGTGTCTACACAATGATAGTAGTGAAATGAAGTTTTAGATTGGAAGCTTGGTCAGGGACACATACTCTATTGTTGATTGACTTACTCTAATATAGTAATAGAAGTCTAATGTTACTAGACAGTATATATCTCTGTGTGTATATACTGGCCAATTGTATCTGCATATTAAAATATATTCAAATTATCAAAATGAATACAAATATTTTAAATTCTCAATTTCCTTTGCAGGAACTTCAGCATGAAAATATTGTAGCACTCTATGATGTTCAGGTACCTTATTTTGGAGTTTTTTTAAAAAAAAAAATTGAATGTTTATTAATAAAAAACTTTAAAAATGTTTCTGTTTCATACAAATTGAAGTGAGTCTTAATTGAAATAAAACTGCTTTGATTCTTGTTGAAAGATACATAATTTGACTATATGTTTATTGCTTACAATGGTATGTAGCAGTAAAATAAAAGAAATAATTGCTGGGTGAATAAAATGATTAATAATTGGAACATATATTAAAGGAGTGTTGTTAACTACCAGTAATGCTTTTTAAAGCAAATAGCGCAATACTGATACCACAGCTAGCATTTCCATGATAAATGTAGAAAGGTCAGTTATAGGCTATCAAAAAATTAGCTTTTCCGTATTATGACAACAATATTCATAAATTGTGGTTGTGGTTGTTAAGTGTTGTCAAGTCGATTCTGACCCATAACGACCTTGTGTAGGGTTTCCGAGGCTGTAAATCTTTATGGGAGCAGAAAACCTCATTTTTCTCCTGTGGAACTGCTGGTAGTTTCTTACAGCTGCCCTTGATATTAACAGTCCGATTTGTAACCACTACGCTATCAGAGTTCCTTATAAATGTGGAACCCTTGGAAAATAATAAGAAAAGAGAACTTATAACTAGGAGTTTGTTCATATTTATTACCCAGCTAATCTATGACTTTCACCCTGGTGTACAGTAACAGTTGTTGCTGTTGTTAAGTGCCGTCAAGACATTGCAGACTCATACAGTGACCCTATGTAGGGTTTCCAAGGAGCAGCAGGTGGATTTGAACTGACCACCTATGGCTCACAGTCCAGTGCTGATCCTACAGCGCCACACCAGGAGTCTATGGTATATAGTTGTGTTACATTATACTTGGGAGGTGGGGAGACTGGGTTCTAAAGTCTTTTAAGTAAGAAGTACTATATTGTGAGAATTACCCTCAGAAATCCTTTTAAAAAGCCCCGCTTTGAAGAAAATTACACACTATGTTTTGGGTAGAGCAACAGATGAATTGGTTGGCTTATATACAGGGACAATACTATATCACAAAAGACAATCCTCCTTTCAATACTAGAATCATGAGGGCCACAGAGATCTGAGACACACAGAGGAACAGCAGACTCAGGCTTTCTGTTCATTCTTAGTCCAGGGTGAGTGGTCTGTGACCCAATAGCAGACTAGTACAAAGTTCACAGAAAAACTCCGTTATCTTTGCATTCCATTTTTCCATGAACTTTCTGACGCTTCCTCGTATGTACTGTTCAGTCTGAGCAGTTTGCTTCATAGTGGAGTAAATGAACATATTATATGATTCTGCTGTGTATGCTGTAGCTAAAATGTTTTTTGTTTACACTTGTATGACTCAATTTATTGTACAAGTTTCTGAGTGGCTTTTCTGTGCCAAGTGTTCTAAGCACCAAGAATAAATCAGGGAGTAAAGCAAAATACTTGCTCTCAGTTGTGTATAGTGGGGCATTGTTGTTTTTTTTCCATGTAGTCATTTTTTTGACATTTCATATCACAAAGTATTTAGCTTACTCCATGTTATGTTTAGGTTTTTCCAGTTACAGAAAAGCGATATAAACTGGGTATGTTTAAAATTTTTTCCCTTATGTTCATTGGATTACTGGTCAAATAGCATGCACAGATTTAAAGCTTTTGATTGTAGAGTATAATTGCTTTCCAAAAAATGACTATTTAAACCTCCATACACAGAATGTTAATTGCCATGGTTATATTTTATAACCTGCTGTCATTGTAGCTCATTCTGTCATTTGCAGAATTCAAAGCATTATAGAATGAGAAGGGAGAAATCTTTAAAGTGTAAACTAAACATATTCACAGTCCCTAGCTGAAATACTGAGTCTTCTCAGAGCTATATGTGTAGTTTCGTCTTAATCTCTGCAGATGGCACTTAATGGTACAAGTCAGTGCCTAGTATAACCGTTGTTAAATAACATTAACCATTAGTTTCCCATTTTTGGAGAGGTACAGAAAAGCCTGTCAGAGTAGGTCTTGCTTTCAGTCTAGATAGTATACTTAGATTTTTTTTTTTTTCCATTAGAATAAAAAATATTTGCAAGTACCAGCTTTGGTTGCAGAAAGTTATCATTAGGGAGAACGTATACTTAAGAACCTGAATTACGAAAACAATCAGGAATATCATGGTAATGACATTAAAATGTTTTTATTGTGCATTGTATACAAACGAACTAATTTATAAAAATAAGTTAATTTACAAGAAATAAGAGTAAATATGAAATACTAGTCAAGTGAATTTAGCCTTGAACATTTGACTGCCAGCAATCAGACTCTTGATCTAATCTTTAAAACTTGACTCCTTGATTCTAATTGTCTATCAAGGGGTTCAATAAGGTTTGGAGGCTAAACACACTGCCACTGAGTCCATTCCAACTCATAGTGATTTCTATAGAGCAAAGCAGAACCGCTCCTTAGGATTTCCAAGGCTGTCAATTGTTTTTTTTTTTTTTTTAATTAAATGTTTTTATTTTGGATTGAGTGAAAGTTTACAGGGCACATCATCAGCTTCACATTCAACCATTCATATAGCTTGTTTCATTACATTGATT